TTTCCTGGGTCAATTTAACATCTAATCTTACTGCTTTATTTTTCCCTTTTCAGCGTGGAGGTCCTGAATAACCATGGTGGCTGCTGTTTGTCATCAGACAATAGAATTGTCTGTACAATAAAGGACTTCCAAAATGACAGATGAGAAACTGTATATTAAACACCTTTAATAAATACTATGAAAAAAATGAAATATAGAAAATTTAGACGGACACTTGTATTTCCTAATTTATGTATCTTGGTCAGCTTCTCCACAAGCTTACCTAATTATTTATACACTTTATACTTATTAAAGTATACATTTTTAAATGTTAGCCTATTAATTTACTCTTGATTATCAAACATTACCAGTGTTGAACTATTAAAAGCACATAATGTATAGTAAACTATCATAGGATTCTTATAATTTCACTTTTCTTTCTGTTTAGACATGGAAAAATTTATCAGTCAGAATTGCTGTTTTAGGTACATGATTTTCCTGAAATTAGGTGAGGATCAGTGAAATAATGACTCTATTACTTGTTCTTAATTCTCTGTTCTCTAATGTTTTTTCATTCACAAGTTTACTGGAGTATAACTGGCTTAGTAAGTGTATCCTACTCTGAATGATAAAAATATAGTCAAGCTAAAATAGGTGACTATACTATTAAGATAGAGGAGATTATACAAAAGGTTCCAAGAAAGTCAAAGAGTATAAAATGGAAAATAAGAGACCAAAATGAATATAGCATAGGAATAAAGATTTCACTAGAAATTGCAATTTATTATGTTTCGGAGGTTGTAAGGAAGTCTTGTTCTTCGGTTTATTTTACTGTTTTGTGATCTTGTATGCAAATCCTGATAACCATTAACTTTCTCAAACTTAATGTCTCAAAGCCTCATAAAATCAACATAAATATTTACTTATTAAGCAGTTTATGAAACTTGAATGGGGCCCCTCCTGTGCCAAGGGTATGTGTATTATGAAGTAAAACCTCACAAAGCTAAATAAATTCTCTTCCATACCTTTAACGATTTCCAGAATATGCTTTAAAGAAGTGGTCCCTGAGAGTTAACGGTAGCTCATGAGCAAGAAATAGAATTGGTTTTGAGTATGTTTCTGTATTTACTCAGTTACCTGTGGGTTAATTTTTACTTATTTCTACTACTCCACAGAGTTGATCTACTTCTCTTATAAATTTTTTGCTGTAGCTTAGTGTACATGTTGTTCAGCACAAATATGAGATAGGGATTGGGGTTTGATGCTAGCAATAAGCTGTTCTGGTGACTCATTGAAAAACATGATTCAGGCCAGGTGCAGTGGCTCACGCTTTGTAATACCAGCACTTTGGGGGGCCAAGGCAGGTTGATCACCTGAGGTCAGGAGTTCAAGACCAGCCTGGGAGACATGGTGAAACCCCATCTCTACTAAAGACATAAAAATTAGCCAGGCATGGTGATACGCACCTGTAATCTCAGCTACAGGGAAGCTGAGGCCAGCGAATCACTTGAACCCGGGAGGCAGAGGTTGCAGTGAGCCGACATTGCGCCACTGCATTCCAGCCTGTTCGACAGAGTGAGACTCCATGAAAAAAAAAAAGAAAAACATGATTCATTTCTTTTTTTTATTATTTAAAAATTTATTGCTGGGTGTGGTGGCTCACACCTGTAATTCCAGCACTTCGGAAGGCTGAGGCAGGCGGATCACCTGAGGCCCAATCCCTTAGTTTTCTTATTTCAGCAAAAGAAAGCCCAGGGCCGGGCCGGGCCTGGGGCGTCAGTTAATCCCAGCAACTTTGGCAGTCCGGGCCAGGCCGATCACCCTGAAGATCAGGCTGTTCAAGCACCAGCCCTAGCCCACCGTGGGTGAGAACCTTGCGCTACTAACACAAACACATTCGCTGGCGTGTGTGGGGCCACCTGTATCCAGCTACTCGAGGGTCGAGCGCGCGCGCGCTTGAACCCTGGCGAGCGAGGTTCGCGCTCAGTGATGCTCGAGATCCACGCCATTGCAACGCCAGCCTCTTCCAGCCTGGCAACAGAGAAAGTCAATCTCCC